ACATGATTTTCTTTCCTTATTCAACTATGATTGTTAGATTTGATTCCTTTTCGAGTTAGATTGTATTTAGACTTCCTTTTTAGTTTTTAGACGTAGCTTAGGTTTATTTAAAGCTTTCTTTTACGTTGTAAACTCAGATTTTGAAGAATTGAATTGAAACCTTTGGGTTTTTGCAAGTTTGCGTACTTGTGTGAGCTTTGGTGGATTCCAAGCTCGTTGAGCTCTTGTATCGATCAAGAACGCGTTGATCGTGGCCGGGCATCTACCTTTTATACCAATCGAGCGTTCCCCAGGTGTGGAATCGTCCTTTTGGTTCCGTTTTATCCAAGTTCGTATTAAGAACGCTTCGTTCTTGATTCGAGCTCAATCGATTCTTCGATTGAGTCGTTAGCTGCGTGACTTTGATAACATACACCCCCCAGGGGCGTATCAGTACGTGGTACACTAATAGAGGACAAGAAGAAGCATGATTAACGACGAGCAGTGACACGCTAAAACACAACACCAAACTACGACCAAGTGTAATCGCAGTCCGGAAATGCAGAATAGTGGCAAGTTTTATTTATGACCACGGGGTCTAGATCTACTCCCTACTCCGTGATTATCTATTATCTAGCAGGCTAAGTTGAGTGAATGTGATTTTAAGCAAAAGCAGTAAGAAAGTAGGAAATTGTTCGAAGTTCTTAAGTAGGGGAAGAGTCACTCAGGAATGAGTCCCCCCTAGTTCCTTAGTTAGGTCAAAGTGGTAATTACCTTTGGTTGATTTACTGTTGATTAAGCTGCGGAAGGTTCGACAGTAGCTTGGAATCTCTTAAGCTGACCAAGCCCTCTCAGACAGACTACCCGACAGACGACTAGTCTTCACCGGGATAGAACGCTGAGGCAATTAACACAGAACTCCACTACTAGAATTGGATTCCAGTACAAAGCAGTGAATATACTAACTCTCGTATAATCGATTCACTACTACCGATTGAAGAAGCTCTAACAACCTAATCAGATTCTATCTATCTCAGGTTGCAGTAGAAATCAATAAAAGATGATCAAGCTTCAATTGACTCAATCAAAACACTTCAATCGATTATAATCAAGCAGTATCACAATCCAAACATCATTACAATCGATATCCCTAACACATGGAACTAGGGTTCTTCATACCCAAGTGAGAGAAAGTTCTACTCCATAGAGAGATAGAGGAAAACATAATACAAAGCAGTCATACTCACAACAATGGGAAGAACCTGCTATGGGATGTCAATCTTCACTCCTGGGATGAAATCCAAGCTTGATTGATGAAACCCAGCTCCAAAATCACCTATAGGGTGTGTTCTTCGCACTTTTGCTCTCTAGGACTCTGTTTCTAGCTCTGAAAATCGATTCCCCTTCAAAAGACCCGAAATTGGGTTAAAACCTCAATTCTGCCCGATCACACGGCCGTGTGAAATTTAGGTCTGCCCGTGTGGCTCTCCAAAACGCCGCGTTCAATTTAGTGACTCCAGGTACGCTACACGGCCAAAACCACACTGTCTTGTGGAATTTAGGCCTGCCCGTGTGAACTCCCTGGGAATTCCACACGGCCAAATAGGGCCCTTTACACGACAGTGTGGCTTGCACGCGCAAAGGGGTTCCACAGAGCCGTGTGGAATTTAGGTATGCCCATGTGGAATTTCTAGCTTTTCGTCCAATCGACCCCGAACTCGTGCCCAAACCTTCCTTCACGTACTAGGACCTGAAATATCACAAACAAGAACAACCTAGCGTGAAATCGGCCTAAAACATGAGAGATGAGAATCAAACGGTATAGGAATGGTGGACAAAAACATGTGTATATATCAAGTCAATAAGCAGCATCTTGTAACAAGTCACCCGTCGCGGCTAGTTCTACTTCGATTCAGTGGTGTAACTGTACAAGGGGTAAGAGGCGCCAGGTTTAACTTCTGTAGTCTGCACTATCTAAAGCTCTTACATGCGCAAGTCACCCCGCCCTTTCTAATGCCAGTGCGCGCGAAAGAGACTTACGGCGCATGTAATACTCAAGTTTCCTGGGAAGGATGTAAAGGGATCATAACACCCAACCGGTCTTCAAGGGAGAAGGGAGACGCTCGTAGTAGCTCAGAAAACTCAAAGTGAAGTGTGAGGCGCCCACAACACCAAAGTCAACAAGGAAAGTGATGGATAGTGGCGCATACCACCGAGTAAAGGGCAGCCTTGTTATACATTAGGAAGGCGCTGAGGAAGCACTTCGAGGTTTAAGCTAAGTATCTTCTATCCCTATTCGAGCTAATTTCCTCACCACTATTTTATCCAAATTCTAATGCTATTAAAGCACTTACTGCAAAAACGTAGCACGTGGTGTTTTGGGATCATGATCATTAAAACACTCATTATAAGAAAACTGTGATCTGTGGTATTTGAGGTGGCTCACTTAGTGTGGGGAAGGCATTTGTGGCATCTAAGACCATATGGATGTCATCCAATGACTTATTTTTTAGGCGCTCCAATTCTAGTCTCCAATGAGAAGCTCAAGGAATAAGCTAAGTGTTTTCTATCACTAGTCGAATTACATTCCTAGTTATTTTATGAACCAAATTTTGTTGCATCGCTTAGTATATTTGTGATCCTTTCTTTGTGTAATTAATATAGTAATGGGGGCATGAACTGGGGGACAAAACACCAAAGAATCTTACGTGAAACTTGATAGGTTGGGGGACTTTAGTTAGCCATCCAGTGCATCATTGAGCGCCTAACTAGGGGATAATTAGGCTAATATGGGCATATGCAAATTCAAGATCTTCCAAGGCAAACAAATGTTCAATTATGCTCAATGTCCTAGCCTTGTTAGACATCAAATGTGAAATAAGTATTTTTTTATTGCTTTATACCGCTAACCATGTTATGAGTCACATTATGTTACTATTTTCTTTCTCTACATGGTTATTGCTCCAAGTTCTTAAACTATTATGATCATGGGGGACATGGATCAAGTAGCCGGGGGCAAGGGGCGCATACATGTCATATACTAGAAGTAAAAAAAACAAAAGATGTGCAACTTGAAGAATTTTAGTTAGGCATCTAGTATACTACTGAATACCTAACTGTGGGACAATTGTTGGGCCCGTAAATATGGCACGGCCCAACTCGAACAGCAACAGTAATCCACAAGCGCGTATGGGCCCAAGCCCGTAACACACCACAAAGACCCAATGGAAGTCCAATGAAGGTTGACAAGGCTTAACCTATAAATATATCCTTAGGTCCTCCAAGTAAGGGGCCTCTCCTTCTCCTCAACTCATTTTTCACATATCAATTATCTGTCCGCAATATCTCTCCCTACCTAAGCCCTTCTTATTTCTGTATTATGATACTAATGTTGATCTTCGGAGTATAGATGCAGTGGCCATCCCCGCCCTTTCACAGACTGGCGTCATACTTGTTTCGTGGCTGAAACAGTGTTGATTGTTATGTTTGATTCATTTATATAAATTTTGAAATGTTGCATTAACTGGAAATTTTTCTTACTTAGTGAGAATTTGATGTTATATTGGTTAATTTGATTAACCAATTAACCAAACCAATTTAAACTTTAGTTTAGTTAATTTGGTAGATATATTAGTTTGAATGGTTTGATTATAATATTTTATTTCATGGGTTAATAAAATTTGTCTAATTTGATTTGATAATTACAGTGCTAATCATTTGCTCAATGGAATGGGGAAGGTCCATGGAAGACAACAATTTGGGAGAGGGAGATGTGTGCCTCTTCCTGTGAAGATGGACGTGTCCATCTTTCCAGCACAGCCCATCGAAGTAGTAGAATAGAGATCATCGTGGGCTAAGCGTAGCCCAATTACTGTATGGGCTTATATTTTGTAGGCAATGCTTTGTTTCTGTCTCAGTGTCTCGGATCTTTCGGCTGAACATGTTAATGTAGTCTCCATCCGATCCAGTCTGGCCAGCCGAATTACCTATCCCCTACAAGATCCAACCGAGTAAGTCCCACTGGTATATGTTCAAGTCAATTTCGATTCTTTTCCTCGGGGCGGCCGGGCGGCCAATCGGCCACAAAACCTTCGAAGTCTCCATATGTACATGATTAATCACATGCGTCTACATGAATAATGATTAAATTGATGTTTGATTACTTGATTATAAGTATGATAATGAGTTTAAAGTTTGTTAATTAATAATTGTGCTAATTATTGGTCAATATTTTCATATCATATATATGAGGTATGTATATTGATCGTTATAATCATATTTGTGTTTTGAAATGATATAAGGAAGTCTTAATGCATTAACACTCTAAACGATGCTTGAAAATTATTTCTTGGAGAATACAAAAGTTGAAGAGCTAATGATAATTTTATTTCACACATAATTATGAAAATATTACTTTCTACATAATGATACTATCTATGTTGCTATTTGTCTCACTAATAAAATCATAGGAGGTGTGCTCCTGCTCCATTTCTCATTCTATAGTATATATTACAAAATTAGACCGCATCTTGATTCCGGAGCCGTACAATGGCAAGATTCCCTTAGAAAGAAAATGTTTGCCCCTCCTGTTCTAACTTCTGAGGGTCGTTTGTATCAAGAATTTTGAAATTGAAAGTTTGTGTGAATTTTCGGGATTTATAAAATGAAAGATTAGCGATGGATTTCATTCATTCAAAATTTGAGAAAAATATTATTTGAATCGATATTAGATTTTATGAAAGGATTGATTTATTTAATATTAGAGATCTGGTTTCTTTTCTCATATCGCATCAAATTAGATAAAATTTCCAAACCTATAGAACTCATAGATTTGGTAACATTTTTTTTTTTCAAATCTATAGATTTATTTATATGCATCCAAAATCCAAATGATGGATTCTATCAAGTTTCCAACTAGTGATGGATTTGGATTATCCAAACGACCCCTAAACAAGTGAACCCCATAGCCTATTTATACATAGAATTCTAATTGACTCCCTCATTTCTCCCATTCCTTCACCATGTGCACTCTCGAGCAGCGGTCCAACCTCTTCATCCTAACCCTGACCGGCAACAACCAACACCGCCTCAGCCCAACTCTGATCGCCGCCATCCTCTCGGCCCTTCGCCAAGTCAAGTCCGTAGCTACAAGCGGATCCGTTCTCATCACGAACTCCAAAGGAAAATTCTTCTCCAACGGACTCGACCTTCCGTGGGCCTTAGCCGCAGGATGTCGAGTCAAGGCCCTATCGAGGCTCTCCCAAATGGTGGAGTCCCTGCGGCACGTGGTCGCTGAGCTCGTCTCCTTCCCCATCCCCACGATCTCGGTGGTCCAGGGCCACGCCGCGGCGGCAGGGTTCGTGCTGGCCCTGAGCCACGACTACATGCTGATGAGGGAGGACAGAGGTGTGCTTTACATGAGCGAGATCGACCTCGGAGGTTGCTTGCCGGACTACTTCACCGTCCTGTTTCGGGCCAAGATCGGGTCGGGGCTGGCCCGGAGGGATGTTGTGCTGGGAGGGAGGAAGGTTAGGGGAAGAGAGGCGGTGGAGATGGGAATTGTGGATGGTGTTTGGGGTGGCGAAGAGAGGTTGGGAGAGGCGGCGGTGGAGCTTGCTGAGCGGCTGGGAGCGAGGAAGTGGGATGGGGAGGTGTATCAGAAGATGAGGGAGGGTTTGTATCCTGAACTCTGTGTCGTTTTGGGAGCCGTTACAGGTCGGATTCAGGCTAAATTGTAGGATTTAGCCTAAATTCAACATTAATGCATGGGAGATAAAAATTGTTCATCAGTTGTCATTCTTTTTATTTTTTAACCATTTTCATTGATGAAAACCAAAGGCTGGCCCGAACTCTACACTAATAGCATCTTCATTAATGCAATTGTATTTGTTTTTGTTATTGTTACTTCATTTTTTTCAATCCAACTCATCTTAGTTGCATTGCACCACATCGATGCAATTAACTTGTATTAATTGTATGGTTGGTCACTGAGATTACAAAAACGTTTCAGTTTGGTCACTCGAAATATTTAAATCCATTGGTAGTACTTCAATTTACTAAAACCGTTCACGTTTGGTCACTCTCCGTCCAACTTCATTAACTTTGGCTGATGTGGCAGTCAACTCTCAAAGTTGACCGTTAACTTAGTGACGTGGAAATTAAGAAATAATAAATAAAATAAAATTTAATCTATTTTAATGTCCAACTCATTTTTACTATAAAATAAAATAACATTATAATTATTAATACCAAATTAAAAGAGAATGGAACAAAACAGAGATGAACCAAACATTAAGTAAAGATTACCAGGTGAGATTTCTTCTTCTTCTCAATTCATCATCAGTCTCCAATGTGTAACAAGTTTTCGATTTCGGCCTCTCTGCTCTGCCGGAGCAGCTGCGAAACGACGGGCTTTTGCACACGCAGTTGAACGTATTCAAGCTCGGTGCGATCGCCTGTCCTGGCTTCACCGCGTTGACTACTCTGGAACTTGGTTCGTGCCAGCTGAATTATTCAGGCGCGAAGGAGATGTGGGATCTTTTCCTCCATCTTCCGAGTTTGACCAACCTGAAGCTACTCGATTGCAAATATGGGACCCCATTGAGAGTGTCAGACGACCGGTTATTGAAAATGGGTAGGAGTATCTATCATACAGAGACGATGATGAGTTGGCCATGGAGGCGCCGTGGTGATGCATTATCATATTCGGCCGCCCATTATCATTATTATTAATAATAATTTGTTAGTCGGTTTTGGTTATTGTTTAGGAATAGTATTAATTATTAAAGTATTTAAGGTAATTTCTTTAGGGTTAAGTTACCGAGTCCCTATAGGATTAGTAAGTCATTAGCTTTCCCGGTTATACTATAAATATGTACTTTGTTTCTACGTTTTAGGCAGTCAATGAAGAAGAAAAGCCTTAATCTAGTAGTTTTAGTTTATTTATCGTTCTTGTGCTGCGATGCTTGATCCATCAATGAATCAATTGGTATCAGAGTCTGGTTCGAGAGAACCGAGCTCGCTGCTGCAGCTCCCAGGGCAGGTATCGCCAACGTTCAACCACCAACGTTGGGAAGAGGTCCCGCGAGCAACTACACCGCCGCCGAAATTCACGAGGCCAACGTCCCTGGACGTTCGCCATGCACCGCTGGAGGTCACGACCTCACTTGCTGCTGCCACCGAAGTTGCTGAACGGGGTGCGAGAAGATGCGTGCCACCGCTGGAACCGCTCGACGAGCTGTGTGACGCGAAGATCCCATTATGCGCACTAACAGGGATCACCAATTCCGCCACACTACAATTAGGGATGGCAATGGGTTGGGGACGGATAGTGCATATCCGTTACCCTACCCAAAGTAGTTCGGGTTTTACCCATGCTCATACCCACATAAGAAACAGGTAGGAAATCCAAACCATGCCAATACCCGTTCGGGTTTCGGGTATCCACGGTTATCCATGGATAATATTTTTTCTTTATAACTCCAACCAATACGTTAATATTTACACGTATTCTCACGTTACGTAAGACGAAAAGTACGACAATAATTCACTAAAATGAAGAAAATTAATTAAAACAACACAATTTCATAAAAGAATGATATTTATATGCTAAATATAAAGTATGTTAGAGAAAAATATTGATTATTTCTAGACAAAATACATATGCATGTGTATAATCGGGCGGGTTCGGGTTGGATAGTGAGAAAACCATGCCCACCCATTACCCGCAATATTCGGGTTCGGGTTTTACCCGTACCCACTAAAAGTCCTTCGGGTTCGGGTTTTACCCTACCCGATTAGGTCGGATTCGGGTGGATATCCACGGTTACGGATATTTTTGCCATCCCTAACTACAATTCTCAGCTCAGCTCATGGACGAGAACGTCATCGCCCTTGTTGACGTCTTCTCTTCTCACAATTTTGTGAGTGCCGAGGTCGCCAGAGCCAGGTCCTTGACAGCCACACCGATTCCACCGTTTCGGGTCAAGGTCACCAATGGAGAGTCCCTCGACTGCGAGCGTTGCTACAAAGCCGTAGACCTCACCATCCAAGGAGAAACCCCCAACGCCGTAGACTTGTATGAGCTGCCGATCAAAGGACAGGACGTGCTCTTAGGCGTTCAATGGCTGAATCAACTTGGACCGACGTATGTCGATTGGGAACAGCGCACGATACGTTTCAGAAAACCGGGACGCTGGGTTGACTTGCAAGGGTTTAACATGGAAGCAAGGGCGATCGAGGCCACGAACACGGTCGAGGACCCGGCTGCCCCGATCGCAGTAAAGCTCGTCACGCCGCCGCCTCACAAGTCTGCTACCGTCGCTGCTGCTACGAAGCTGGACCTAATTGAGGAGCTAACCCTAGCCCCGGGTCCTCGCCTCGTTGAGAAGAAGGACGACAAGGCGATGTCTCAGCTGCTGCCGCCGAAGTTGGGATCCGCTGCTACCGGAGGAAGAGAAGGGAGAAACGACGGGATGCCATCCCTAACTACAAAGTCGCCATCGATGTCCAAGTTGCGAGCTGTTGTCTCTGCCGCCGTTATGGTCCGAGAGAAGGAGGTTGTTGCACCTCCTGTTCCGACGCTGCTCCGGTCCAAGCAACAGGAAGCTGTTAGAAATCGAACAGGAAAAATCAGGGTTACCGATCTGGCTGAGTCGCGGACTAGGTCGCTCTCTTTAAGACGTTCGCGGCACTGCCTTCGTTGCGCACGGCAGACTATCAGCCGGTCGCCTCCAGGATAAAACAGCCACTCTAAATTTATTGCTCATCGGATTTGTGCGAAAACCGGAGCTCTATGAACTCACTCTCTATCTCGTGTTTCTGCTCTCTGAGGTGTGTTTAGAGGGCCTGGGGCGTCTCCTATTTATAGGAGCAGAAAACCCAGAATATTCCCTCTTTCTTTGGGAATAAGTCATATTTTAATTAGGAAGATAATTACTCCCATAATTAAGATATATTATATTAAGATAATTTATACTAGTTATTAGGGGTGCTAACCGGTACGGTTAACGGTTTACCGGTTACCGTTTAACCGGTTTCGTGTATACCGGCTGACCTGATGCTCCATCCGACTGCCGATACCGAATTGCTTCGGTATACCGCCAACCGTTTGGAAACGGTCTCGGTTAAGTAAATGGTCTCCCGATAATCCCGAAATGGCAATTGGCCTCGTCCAGCAAATGGCAATTCTGGTGGTGGGAAAGAATAAAGTGGAAAGGGCCCGGGTTGCTGTTGCCCACTGGCCACTTCTTTGCCTTTTGTCTTGGACTTTTGGACGGGTGAATGGTGAATGGTGAATGGTGAATTGGTGATTGGTGGTGAGTGATAGTGACCAGTTGCATGTGATAGTGACCAGTTGCATGTGATAGTGACCAGTTGCAGTGGATAGTGGTAATGAAACAAAAAATCTCAAATTCCTCCACCACCCTCCCACGTAGCTATAATTCTTGGACCTTGGTTATTGTCACTGACCAGTGACCACGTAGGCAAGGGCGCAACGGAAGGCACGTAGCTATTAAGCTATAAGCCTATAATTCCTCCAAGTTTTCAACAAGTGAATTCATCAATTCAACAAGTAACAATGACTACTATGCAGCCTGTTGTCTAGTCGGCTAATGAAAAAAAAAACTGAAATCCAAGAATTGAATTTCAAATAGCAAATACCAAAAAATGAAGATAAAAAATAGCATTATACTACGTAGCTATAATTTCAAAGGGAGCAGTCTCGTCTGTTGCTTCTAAATCTTTCAATTAAGTTCTAAAAAATGACGATAAAAAATCGAATCACTAGATTCTCACTTGCCACCAATTCCTCCTTGTCCAATAGGACCTGTACCACCAACATCAACGGAACCTTGTTGCTTCAAAGTGGTGCGAAGGGTATCATCATCACCATCATCCTCCTCATCTTGGTCCTCCTCGTCCTCGTCTGAATCTTCCTGCTCTTCATCTTTCTCCTCCTCCTCCAGCACAACAGGTAAACCTTGTTTGTCACCTTCACTTGGCACGACAGTAGCACTTTCCATTCGAGCTTGGAAGTTAGTAGTGACTAAGTATAATAAAAAATACAAATTGTTAGAATTCATCTTATAATATATTATTGGGAAATGAGTAAAGGAATACTTGACAATAAATTATGAATTCTTATTTCTTACCACTTGCATAATCGATTTCGTCTTGATTTTCATCTTCTTTATCATCAACTTTTTCTGATTTCTTCCCTCCTTCAAACCTTATCCAATCTTCAGCACAAATCAAGGCCTCTACAATGATGGGGCTCAACGAAGACCTAAACGGGCTGAGCACTCGACCTCCACAACTGAAAGCGGCCTCTGAGGCAACAGAGGAGACTGGAACAGCTAGGATATCCTTAACCATCTGGGAAAGAATAGGATATCTAACGCCGTTCTTACTCCACCACAGCAAGATGTCAAACTTCATATCATTATCATCCTCGTTAATAGCATCATTAGCATCTCTCAAGTAGATGTCTAGCTCAGAAAAACCTCGAATCCCCATCTGAAGTTGCTCCTTTCTCATCTTCTTGAATTCAGCATCAAATGTCCCTCCATAAGATGCAGATCCATCATTAACACTAGGAGTGGCCTGAACAGTAGGCCCAGAGGGTTGAGGTGCATACTTCAATCTGTAAACCTCAAACATTGCAGTCATCTCTGCAGTCACATCTTTCACCAAATCATCTCCTTTCTTCTTCCCATACATCTTACCACACATCCAA